CTACTCCTGCCCTGCAGCATCCATCAGCTCCCATTTACGAACCGATCTTTTCCAGGGTCTGCTGGTCACCCTCCCCTGCTGCCACAGCCCCAGAGGTGTTAGTCTGAGCTCAGCTGCCTCCTGCTAAGGTGCAAGATCATTATTTAAAGCCCAACCTCCCCTAACAGGAGCAGGGATCTCTGCACCAGGAAAATACACGGCCACGTTTCACTGCGCTTTTTAGAAGCGCAAGTGAGCCGGAATCCTTCCCACCAGCCTGGAGGTTTCCTAAAGAGCCTTAAATTAGTGCACGCCTCAAAAGCTAACAGGGACAAATCTCGGCCTCGTTATTTACATGGTCAGTGAGACTGGCTGTATGTGCTTGCATACGGGGTGGCAAGATTTGACCCAGAGCCTTACCCAAGAATAGGTCCTCTGAGAAACGCTCTGCCAATTTTATAGCCGCTTTTCAAAATAGAAGCCTTTAAAAAAACAGACTCAGGATGCAGAATCTGGAACGGGATGGTTGTATCCTGCAGGGAAAACCTGTCCTCGCTCCCCAACACACGCACACGCACACACACAGTGCGCCGGGGCTCCTGCCCACAGTCACGCACGAATACTGGTCTTCCACATCAAAATGTGAACTACTCATTTACAACACCACACACTGAGAGAGGTTGTAGATCCTGAGCCAGGGTGTAGATTAGGAATCTCTTGGCTTCCAGCATATCAACAGCAGGATTTAGGGTTTCTTTTTTTTCTTTTCCTCCTGATTTTTTTTTTTTTTTTAAATGCTAAATCAGCCAGCCACCTGCTAGTTAAAAAGCAAAAGAAAAGGGAGAATTCCCGGGATTGCTTGCCCTTGCTGAGACAGTGGCAAGTGGCTGGACACTACCAACTGAAAGAGAAAACTCATACACGTCGGAAACCTGCGGTTCAGCGCTTATTCCAAGAGGGGAGATGGGTGCTGGTTGCTATTTTTATCTTTCCCTTTTGTGGCGGGGGGGGAGGGCTTTTGGCTGATGTAGTTCTAATGTACACCTATCACCACAGTAATTAAAAAACCACCACCATACACTATTTCACAGGGAAAAAGAAGACACGTGAACGTACACTTACTACCACACACAACAAGAGCCCTGCAGGTCAACTCACAGCCTTTTCAAAATGAAAAATAAAAGAGAAAAGAAGAGCTCAAGACAATAACGGGGGGAAAAAAAAAAAAAAGAAAAAATCCAAAACGATCTGGTTACAAAGAACAGGAAAAGAAGAACCATTATGGTACACTCCGACTTTCTGAAATAGCTGCAGAAACTCAGCTCAGCATCCTCCTCCTCCTCCCTTCCCCCCCAGATCTTTCGCCCGAGGACAGAGTCCTGCTGCTCACATCTCGTTGGAGTAGGTGTAGTTCGGGGTGGCCGAGTACTGCGTCTCATGCTGCATCATGGCCCCCTGCGCCGCCCCCATCGCCGCGCTCTGTGCTGCCTGCTGGACTTGGGGGTTCTTCCACGCTCCCGTGGTCCACTCCTCCTGGGCTTTGCTGAAGCTCCCGCCGCTCCCCCGGTAAAACTTATGCACCTGTAGCAGGTTGGAAAGAGAAAATCCAGAGGTGTTGAGCGACTGCAGCTCGCGCTGACCCTCTAGGGTAGCGGCAAGGGCTCCCTGAAGCAACGCGGCACCCCCGTCCCCTCCCGTACCATAGTGAGAGCGATGAAGGAGAAGACCGCCATCCCCGTGAACAGGACAGTGGGGATCAGCATCACCACGGCCGACCCCACGTTGGTCCCGAAGAAGGAAATCGCTGCAATCCAGCCACTGCAAGGAGATGAAAACAACCGGTCTGTTCAGCGGCCTGGGGCTTTCCCGGCTGGCTCTGCACACCACAGCCTGCCAGCATCCCTCCCCTACAACCCTCCCAGCTCCTCCAACCATCTTCCCCAAGGAGAGAAGCTACTGAAGCAACGAGGATGTTAAAACACCAAGAGGCCACAGCACCAGCTCAACGGTGACGGTCCTTGCACCCAACACGAGAGCAGCATCTTCCTTACCAGACGCCCCAGCCAGGGATTCCCACTGCCTGGATGATGCTGATCACCAGCTGGGCCATGAAGGTGAAGAAGAAGGCCATGAAGCTGAAGGAACTGTCTGTCCTGCAAGAGAAGTCTCGGTCACTCCCTACACCTCCATCCCTGCTGCATTGCAAGGGAAGGGAGATGCTCCCACATCTCAGACCCTTTCGGGGCAGAAGCTGCTGTGGTTAGCGAGAGGGTGGTGAGAAGCGGAGCTGCCTGCAGACAGCAGGCACCGGAGCAAAACTATAGGCAAGGGAAAAACTGCGAGAGGCTGAAGGTGATGAAGGGGCACCTGGCAAAGCCATGGGGCATCAGACCCTCCCCATGGCTCGGCCAGCTCTGCGCATCAGGCAAGAGGGCATCTGTGTTCAGACACGGCTCTCGGCTCACACCGCCCCACCATCAACCTTCCCGCACGGGGAAGAAATACACCCCCAGTTTTCTAGATTGGGGGATACTGCTCTGGGGATTGACCTCAGCAGCACAGATAATCAATATAAGCACCTCGAGGACTCATGGAAAAATATAAAAGAAGCTTCAAGAAGGGGTGGGAGGGGAGGGAAAGTTGGCATCCCAACTGCATCCTCACCACTCCCCTTGACGCAGCGCAGGGGCACACGTAGGGTGTCTTTATATCGTATGGTTGGGGTTTTGGCCCTCAGGAAATCCCAAACACCCTTGCTTTCAAGGTTAGAAAGTAAAGCTAAAGGGCTGGACAGAAAGAGCAGAAATTCCCCCAAATATTCAGGCAATGCCCCAAGCTCAGCGCTAACCGTTTAGGAAGGAAAACAAAAAAAAGATCATGAGAAGCCGGGCTCAGGTGTGACCACTTACTTGAAAGCTTTGTAAATAGGTCTAAACCAGCAGACATAGGAGCAGGGCGTAAAGAGAATGAGCCAGAGAATTGCCAGTCCAAAATTAACAGCTCCACCGCCTCCAATCAGCCATGCGAGGCAGCCAACGAGATTCACCGCCAAGGTGATGCTGTTCACTGCAAACACACACACACACACACAGAGGGAGCACAGTAGCGTGTACGCAAGGACGTCGGTGCGATACGAGAGACCCCGACCCCAGGGATGCCCATGCGGGGCTCACCTCCAGCGGGTTTGGCCAGCAATGTGTTACTCTAGCCGGATTTCCCTTAATTTAAATTAAGCTGGCTCAGTCTGGGGAGCATCCCCAGGCTGGCTCAGCCAAAGCGGGTCTAACCTCAGCTGAAGGGGCAGGAGGAAAAAAAATATATCGCTCGGAGTTGTAAGGCCTTAAGCAAGTCCAGGGCTCGTGGGGCTCCGAGGACAGGGAAGAGCCGTGTCCTCCCACTGCCGGTGAGCCAGGGCACGTTTCCACCAACAGAATGAAACTGGAGGAATCGAAGTGAAGCTTTTTCGCTCGCCTCCAGCTACAGTTTTGCTGAAGGAGCTTGTGCAAGAGTTCCCCGAGCTAACACCCCCTAAGCTGAGAGCTGAAGTCCTGAACTCCTGGCCCCTGCCTCGCCAGTTCACTGGGGTCGCGTGTTTGCTTCTCCCACCCATGCTCGGGGTTAAGCGATACAAGGGCTATTACTATGAGGCCCAGCTTAGCAGACACAGGACAAAGCAGAGAAGGCTCATCTGCATTCTGACGCCTCCAATTTTTGAGAATGATTCATTATTCCGATGAGAATTAAAACCCTCCCACCGCCGCCTGCAAGAGAGCTGCAGCTGGCAAGAAAGAGAGCTCAGTTGGCCGGGCTGACCGGGCGCTCGCCGCTCCCTAAAGCCCCCAAGGACACCGAGGGGACCTTTCAGCCTCTCTGTGCTTGCGTCTGGCTGGGTGTTTGTGGGGGAGTTGGGGAGAAAATGATCCAGAGAGGAGCTCCGGAGACAGAAACCAACAAACAGGCGACTGGCTCAGAGAGCCGGTGCTTGTGTTGTGGGAGAAGCTGGAGCAAGAACTGAGCTCTATTAAATTAAGCAGAGCAAGAACAGCCAGATTGAGATGGGGAGGGGATTTAACACCCCCAAGACAGCTTCTCCAGGGAAGCACAAATTTCCCCCCCGCCCCTTCATAGAAAAGCTATGCTAACTCTCCTGACTTGATGGGGAAAGTTACCCTAGGGTCACCTTCCCAATGGGACGTGGTCCCCAAAAGCCCAAGCAAGGCACCGCCGCAGGGGTGCCAGCCTGGCGCCGTGCCGAAAGCAGAAACGCCCGACCTCTCCGGTGCCAGCTCGGCTCCTCATAACCTGCCTCCAAAGCACAGGGCACTCCCTGGGCACTGATATGCTTCCAAAGTTCAGGGAAAACACCTGATTAAGGAACTAAGTTATTCGAAATAAAAATAGAACGATGGTGCCAGCTTGCCCCAAGCTGCACACAGCAATTAGCATCATCTTCAGTAACGTTTCCACATACGTCGGGGCGCAATCTGTCTCTCCAGCTCTTCTCCCCACCCAGGGTTGGTAAGCAAGAGACATACGGGCTAGTTTTAAGAGTTAGAAGATGGTGACAGCTCTGTTAGCACAGCACGGCACACAGAGGCATGCAAGAGGAACAGGCAAGACCCGGCTTTGGGGGAAGCCCTGGGCTCCCCTGTTTCAGGGAGCAGGCACCCTGGCCCTCCAGTCCAAGTGGCATCTCGGCCTTGGGCCGTTGCCGAAGGGCTCACGAGGAGCTTGGGGTGGCAGAGAAAGCCCTTCTCCAGCCCGGCTGCCCAAGGAAGCCAGCGGAGGCTTGACAGCTCTCTGGCGGGGCGAGGCCAGTAGCCAAGCGAGGCAAAGAGGGGAGTAAATCCTTCGGCAGGAGGACACGTGGGTGCTGAGCCATCTCCTCCTCGCAGCGGGCTCCAGCGGGACATCAAGGTCACCAATGGCCCTTGGATGCTAAGCCAGCTCCACACCTCCATCCTGGAGGCTGCTGCAGCCCTCATCCCATCCCCAACAGGTTTTAACAGCAGACACCAAGGCCTGGAGGGACAGAAGGACTTCCCCTGATCTTGCTCTGCTCTTTCAGCCGGTGCCTTCCAGAGGAGCAGCCTTCGGAGAGGCAAACGCAAACCCACCCGAGCCCTTCCCTGCTCAGCGACTCACGCATCCAGAGGTAGTAAAGCCGCTTGGCCATGGTACGGTGCTGCGGCGGGATCTCCGCATCGAAGTCCTGGTAAAAACACGGCTTCAAGGGGATGAACCTCGGCAGGGGAGGGAAGTTGTTCACTTTTTCTGCAATAGAAAGTTTCATCAGCATTAGGCACTGCACAGAGCTGAATGTAAATCAAGAGTCTTTCCAGTTCGTCTCATTCAGACCCAAGAATTGATGAGTTTCACGCAGGAATTAAGGATTTCCCCTCATAACCACCACCAACCCACCCACAAGCATCAAGACAAATCTAGCCCTCGCTGGCCATGTGGATCCTGCGAGCGTGGACACCGACTACCCCTCTGGGGACTAACGAGGTGACATTATGGCCAGAAGCCCCAGATGGGCTTCAGAGGCGAGGGGCAGCCCCACTGGAGCCCTCCCCGTACCTGCCATGCCGGCACACGCTCAGCCTCTCCGTTCCACAGGACAAGTAGGCAAAAAACCTGGGAGCTTTACCAAAGCTAGAGGAAAACGAGAGAAAAAGTGATGTGCAGTGGTCAGGTACCTCCCCGAAGAGCCTTCACCTTCCCACTGCTCCAAAATAGCTCAAGGACAGCACTGTAACAGGGCAGTTTGCTTTGTTTATGCACTTTCCTCTACAGTATTCACACGTCCAGGCTTACCACCGGTACCTGGCTGGCAGCAGAATAAATCCCGGCTCCTACGGCCCGAGGCTTATGCACCAGTTAAGGCAGAAGATTAAGAGAAGATCCAGCCATGTGGGGCAGGGCACAGGCTTAACCTCCCGCTCCCGCCTGACCTGAATCCAGCCCCAGGAGAGGGGCTAGGCTGGATGGGAGGGATGCAGCCCCACCAGAGGCAGCTGTGGGCAGTTTGAAATCCTCAAGTTCATTACCTGGCCTCAAACCATTTTTTTTTTTTTTAATTTTTCTTTTTGCAAAGAGTTCCAGCACAGGGAACTACCTGGCTGCCTCCTGACGGCATCACAGCTCCCATCTCTACAAGCCCAAGCCAGAAACCAGGCCAAAAGGGAGCAGGGCAATCAGCTGAAAATATCAGCTGGAAAAAAAATAAATCAGTGGTGATTGTCACTAATGAGTCATTTGAGTGCTGGCTTAACGATTACTCATGTCATTTGGCACCTTGAGTGGTACCTTGCAGGTGGGAGACAAGAGAGCTCAGCATCCCCGGACAGTCCCAGACCATGCCATGCTCAGCCCTGTTCCAGCAGTGAGAATTAAGCAAAATTAAAGCAAAAATTAAGAGCTGAGGTTTTAAATAT